TAAATATATAATAATAAATGCTCATGAAATGAGAGGGGAGGGGATGAAGCCAAAAAACGAAACTAAAGTGTAACAAAACGTTCAAACAAAACATAATAGCATCCAACCATCCAACGAAAATAATAACAATGGCCGCTGTATTCTGCCTTTGGACAGAATCAAGAAGCACACTCATTAACGAAGAGGGAAGGATAAAAATAATAAAAGATGGAATGGGAAAAAAAAAAAAAAAAAACAAAGGTGAACCAGTCGAGATGAAAAAGGGGAGAAAAAACCAACTGCGGAGGGTAGAAATCTCGATATAGATTATAACAAAAGAGAGAGCCGGCAACAGCATTGACTGACATTAACTAGGTAAATATGGCGTTTCTAACAGAGGCTGATTCAGTCAAGATAAAAAAAAAGCGATTAAAAAGAAAATATTACAATTGCTCCATATTATAATTTATGATTAAACTATATATGATGAGTTGATTTATGACGTAATAACGATAAAAACTTAGATTTATGACGTCACACATTATGAAATGGACAAAGTCCGACAATTATTTTAAGACATTTTTATGTTTATACATTCTTTTTATAGATGCAAATATTTAAGTAAATTCTCTGTTTATAATAAACAGTATTAAACAACATTTACCGGCCTGAATGTCCGAGAAATTTTCATAGAAAATATTCGACAGGATTCGAACCTGTATCCTATACGGAACCGTCATTTAGCTTGACGTGCGTTTACCGATTTGGCCACGAAGGAGCGTTCGGTTACCAAGGTCGAATTTACTGTATTTAAACTTCAATCTTCCATGAATCTCTCACGTACATTCATATCTGCTCGTAGTGTATCAAATGTAAACAAATGACGTCACACATTATTAAATGGACAAAGTCCGACAATTATTTTAAGACATTTTTATATTCATACATTCTTTTTATAGATACAAATATTTAAGTAAATGCTTTGTTTATAATAAACAGTATTAAACAACATTTACCGGCTTGAATGTACAAGAAATTGTCATAGAAAATATTCGTCCTCCGACAGGAATTGAACCTGTATCCGATACGGAACCGTCATATAGCCTGACGTGCTTTTACCGATTTTGCCACAGAGGAGCGTTCGGTTAGCAAGGTCGATTTTACTGTTTTTAAACTACAATCTTCCATGATTCTCTCACGGACATTCATATCTGCCCATGGCGTATCCTAATGTAAACAAATGACGTCACACATTATGAAATGGACAAAGTCCGACAATTATTTTAAGACGTCGTTTGTTCACATTTGGATATAATGTGTCGTTTGTCTTGTTGCTTTAAAAATGTATTGTTGCTAATTTTTTGTTTTTACATAAAGAAGTGTTTTTGGTATTTTTACTATAAAAATGTATTTTTATACTTTCCTAGTGTTTTGTTTCGTTTAGGGATTTGCCATTTGCCCATAGGTGGGACTCTAACATGTGCTTCTACCCCAGATCAAGCTAAACCGGGGATAAGCCCCAATTAAGAGGTGGTTCCTCGCCCCTCAAAACCTCGAATCTCCTGATCAGACGACTTGCTGCCGCGTGTAGTTTATCGTCATACTCAGGAACCACTGAGTTCTAAATAGGTGAAGCGAATACTGCAAGGGTCTGTATAATTGCAAGCTTCGTCCAAACATCTCTTTACTGCAAGCCGACTAATACATCACAGAAGAAAAAGACCTTCGGTCAATACTGGAGGGGGTCGACGCAGCAGTACGTATCCTGAAGCCTGGCAAGTATTCTGGTGTGGACATTGTATCCTCTGAACTGGTGAAAATAGAAAACCTCAAAGCCTTAAGTGCACTACGCCAGCGGATTCGGCAGCAGAAGCGGCCAAATGAGTGAACCCAGTCACTGGTGATAACCCGACCAAAGAAGAGTAATCTCAAGCAGTGCTAGAATTATAGGAGAATAAGCCTGATCAGCCACCCCAGTAAGGTTTATCCTCCGTATTATCCTTAACCGTCTGAAATCCAAGGTTGAAGAATAGACAGTTTTTAAAGCCAGACGGAGTAGAATGGAACAAAATTTTAACTGTAAATCAGTTCTCATCAAGAAATATCTGCAAAACCGCATTAATTTTATTGATTTCAAGAAAGGATGTGATCGGGTATGATGTCCTGTGGCAGGTCCTCAGAGGATTCAGCATAGAAGAAGGTCTTATACAAGTCATCCAGGCCCTCGATAACCGTGCCAACAGTGTAGTTCTCATGTCAAGCACGTAGGAGATTTCTTCCAGACGAATATTGGCATTAGACAGATGACGCCTACTCTCTCCAACACTCTTCAACCTGTTTCTTGAGAGAATTAAGCAGAAACTCCTCCAAGAGCACAACACTTCTATCTCTATCGGTAGTAGACCTGTCTACCATTTGAGCTTCGCAGTCAATACGAACTTTATGACTACTAATTATAGGTTAACATTATATAAAATACTTATAGGTTATATAAGGTATTTTTCATCGCGCCCACGTCACTACCGTGCAAAAGCCCAATCCAGATAAGTATAATTATATAATTATAGCATACAGTGTATATATATATATATATATATATATATATTCAAAAATTATAACGTAAACATGTTATAACATCACTACAAATATGGCTATTTTGTATCAACACTTCTGGTGTCTGATGGTGTTGAATGAAGAACCTGATGATTCGACATTCAACACCATCACTTGATAAGACACCAGAAGTGTTGAAACAAAATGGCTATTTTTGTAGTGATGTTATAACATATATATGTTATAATTTTCGAATAAATAATATTTGCTCTACTCTGTATTAAGCAATCTTTTAAGAATAGCGTTTTTAATTTGAAGTTTATTCCATCTACACCAATCCTATACTTGATTATATATATATATATATATATATATATATATATGTGTGTGTGTGTGTGTGTGTATGTATATATATATATATATATATATATATATAACCTGTTCATACAGTATTTTAATAGATGCAGTTTATTTAAGTAGATGCTGTTTTTTATATAAATGGTATTTATTAACAAAATTGTATAAACAGAAAATATATTAAATAATTGTCGAACTGAATCCATTTCAATATATATATATATATATTAAATTTAAATGAATACAAGGGAACGTACAAAAAGAAAGGAGAAAGTGACGCCAAAGAAAAAGATAGCCGGAAAGTGTCGTCGAAAGGACTGGCAAGAGATTTTCCCAGACACAGGCGTCGCCAATGATCGGATCAAGTGAAGGGTTGTTGTTGAGAAAGCCATTGTTCAGTTGTCTTAATACTGGAAGAAGAAGAAGAAGAAGAAGAAGAAGAAGGTGGAGGAGTACGACGATGACGATGATCATAGTAGTTTCTGGCAGAATTTCTGGGATGAGGTGTTATCAGTGTGCACCAAAAATTCTCCATTTTTTACTCTATTATCCCCATTTTGTTGTAGTTATCACAATGTTTCGACCGTTATGCTTTTCGGCCTTCCTTAGGTGTATGTCGATCTCCTTATTCAATCTAAAGGGTTAGATTTAGTTGCAGTTAGACAGTCATTATGTGGGTGGTATTTCTGCTGCACCCTGGGTAATATATACCATTCAATAAATCCCATTTCTATTTAGTAAAACCACTGATACATTCACCAGCTTATAAAATCTGTAATACCCATCATATTATTTCGAGCTACGGGGGTGGGTGAGGCAGTAAACAATTTGTATCATGGTGTCTAGTGTCGGTAAAATGTGAAGGATTTGGTAGTTGCAAAGAAGTTAGTATAATTCTGTAATCGTGCAACACCCTAACCGGTCGTCCAAGACATTCAAACTGCGGCTGAACTAACCTTATCCCATGTTGTGATTTAAGTTTGGTTATAAGGCAGCCAAGATCGAATCGTCGCACGTATCTTCGTATTGGGCTGATCCAAGCAGGGCGATGACGTACAGGAAAAAAATAATAACACTCGAATAAATTGAACAAAAGTAATTACTGTTTTTATATCAGTCCCCCGTACAATAATTGGTTTATATTAGAGTTCTCATGCAATATCTGCCCAGCCCGCGTCTAGATCAGAAGTGATACTATCGTCGACCTGGCAAAAATCTGGTTTGCTGTTGTTGGTAAAGTTTGGCACAAGGCTGAAGTCGAAGGCTTCCGTCGGCAAATAATTACGTGGGCCTCTCTCCTGTCTCTGGTCTGGTCTCTGTCTCTTCTGCCTCTCTGCTGCGACTCGTCTCCTACTGGCGAATTGTTGTAGAGTAGTTTTCACAGTGGAGGCATGTATTTTTACTAAGTCAGTCCTAAAAAGGTTCGACGTACAAAACGTTAGGAACTTGATATAATAGTTAATGACGCAGCAATCTAGTTGTGGTTGCTGATACTTTAATGTTCGACATCGACTGACTGACCAACTCACTCAGCCCAGCGACTGCTACTACTACTACTTATTATAGGTGGGAGAGTCTATTAATAATAGAATAGGTATGTTCCAGTATAACACGAATTCGCTTCGTGCATTTGTATTTATTGACATAATTTAGGAGAATTCCCTTCTTACAAACTCTCATATTATTCAGTACCTCTCACTAAAACTCCTCAGTGAGTGTTGGTGCGTTATCCACCACTCCCCTGTCTCGAATGACTTTCGACCAAGAGAATCAACTCCAAATTCGTTGTTTACGAAAATGAAGTTTTCCCTTTACTGCTTGCATTTACAGCTGCGTGTCAATCAACATTGCCCTCTAAGTCTGGGTCACTTTTCCATTGTTCAAACTGCTCGACATACAATTTAAGTCGTTTATGTGTGAATTAAATCCTCAATTCTTCCCACGGTTTTTTTTTATATTAACCCTTCTCGTTTTAATGTCACTCAGCACATAGCACTTATATTTTAACAAAACTTTCTTCGGTTTTACCGCGGTAATGACAAATAGTATAACACTTCTGGTTGAAGACAATTTACGATCCTATGCTGAAATTAAAACACACATATTTGCAAATGAAAAATCTATCTATCTATCTATCTATCTATCTATCTATCTATCTATCTATGTTTTCTTCATTTTCTTTCTATCTATCTATCTATCTATCTATGTCTGTTCATTTTCTATCTATCTATCTATCTATCTATCTATCTATCTATCTCAACTTTATTTGTCCTTTTTGTGTGACATGTCACTTCAGGCCTTAACCTCTCATGGCTCTTAACCATTTTCTCTTTTTTCGAGTAACTCGAGATAGAGGTTTACCGAGTAAGCGGCACAGATTATGGCGGTGGGGATGATAATGTTTAACCCTAGATTTGAACAAGTTAAGACTGTATCATTATAAGGAAGCAAGCCCTCGACTGTCAGTACCACAAAGCAGTGGTTCGTAAGAAGAAGCTGCTCGAGTAGAACTTACTTCTCACCAATGAAATATGGAGGGAATGACGGTGGTTCGCTACAATGGGAGTGGCATGACGGGTCTTAGTCAAGCCGTGAAATTTAGAATTACTGGAATAAAGGAATGTAATTCGTCTGAACATTTTCGATGGAAATTGCGTTATACCAGCAAGAAACTTGCGACGTTTCGTCTGTGAGTAAAGGGGTCTTAGGGTGAAAAATAATTCGCCACCCACAAGGACGCGGAAACGGTTCTATCGAGGCTGGAAAAGGAAGACTGGGTAGCTCCTGCCTATAATAGGATGCTTTACTCCGTTTTCGGCCTGATCTAGCTCTTCTAAAGGTTGGAGACAGTAGGAGGCGTCTGGAGCAGTAAGTACCTGATATATATATATAGATATGATATATATATATATATATATATATATATATATATATATATATATATATATATATATAACAGCAGATAACATTAGAAAGATTTTAGAGTCCCATGAAAATAAGTGGATATAACGTCTAAAAATAAATTACCCAGCTGGGCTAAATCATAAATTTAACAATATATAGATAGTAACAATATATAACTCAACAAATCAAAACCTACCCACATTTCTCACCCACACAAGACAGACATGCTTACGGAGGTGTGGAGGCGTTACACTTATACACACACCCACACGAATATACACACTTACACACATCAACTCACTCACTCCCTAATGAGCCAAATGATAACACACACCTACAGCAATACACTCGCTTACACATATCATACTCACTCACTCCCTAAGAACCAAATAACACACACACAAACACTAAACAGAGACACATCCCCTCACCAGGTCCAATAAAACTGCCAAACTGACCAGGGAATTCAGAGTAACATGTATCTATCCAGCTCTTATCTCAAATAACAACTTAAAAGAGACTGTTTGACCAACACAAGGAATGTTAAAAGATTCATGTTAAAAAGATAAAAAAACAAATGAAAACTACAGACAAAAGTTCATTTTCTCCAGCAAAAGACATTCATTTCTGTAGTTTACTGCTACCAGCAAGCAGAAATATTTCTCCTCCCGATGATGGCCATTTCGGTCGAAACTAGTCGAGGAATCTAAATGGAATAATAATAAAAAAAAACGAAAGAATATTAATCTACAACCCAGTGTGTCTAAAGATTTTAATTTTTTTATTTTCTTATTGTTCAATATATATATATATATATAATTAATTCATCGAGTCTGATAGAAACCTCTACAGAATGCAGAAAGCACTGGACGGCCGTTTCGTCCTATATTTGGGACTCATTAGCAGTGCGCATCCACTACCGAGAATTGAAACCCTGACAGTTAGGTTGTTAAGCTGACATTATACCAACTGTCCCAAGTGGGCCTCGGTGACGAAGAGATTCCAAATCAGACTCAACAATATATATATTATAACATTTCCAATTCAAAGCCGTTGTCTTTGTCTTCTTGCTATCACGAATGCCCTATTTGTGATTGATGACAGGAACCTACCTTTTTCCCAGGGTTGTTAGCAATGGATCATATCTACGAGTTACCGTGACGCCCCCATTACGTAATTTACACAGCGGGTGACCCCTTTTACTAGTAACCATATATTCTGTTTTCTTATATTTAATAGTTAGCCCTTCTTGCTTGTCTTCCTTGACAGCCTAAGAATCGTTCTTCTTTTATGTGCCGTGCCCATTCAGGAATTGGGTGATCATAACCCTCCACAACTTTCTATTATTTGTAACGGAAAGTAAAGCTTGTCTCTTTACAATCCCTTCTAGACATTGTTCTGCCATCCCATTTACACATACTCGTTTGGTAAGTTACTCGCTATTTCTCTCTTGTCTTCAATAAGTGAGTATCTCTCCGAGATCTTTTCTTCAGTATGTTTTCCGATAGTTCATCTCTTTCCTTTCTCATTTTTCTTAATTTTTCCTCGTTACTGAAATATAGGGTCTATTTCATAATATTTTTTTGGGTTCTGTTCAGTTTTTTTCCTCCGTCTCTCTTGTCTTGAGTATGTCCTGTGAGTGTTAAATTCTCTAAGCCTACTTTCGTCGTTATATGGACTATAAATATCAATTATCTGTTTCTGGTGCTAGGTAGAAGTGTTTTTATTACCTCAAATCTCCTCTTCATCTGTTAGGAAATTACCCAGCATGAACTGCCATCTTGGAAGATTGACCTTAAATAAATGTTCAAAACGATTTTCTTCGCTTCTAATGATATTTTCAATTACAACGTTTCGGCCGTTGTACGCTCCGGCCTTCTTCAGGTGGTTGGAATGTTGAACTGAACCCTTTATTTCACTCACTGGGGTAGACTGTTCTAGTTCCACGTGCCATGTTTTTAATTTTTTTCTGTTAATTTCCCTCTGAAAGTTCTCCACTGCCTTAACCGAGTATTGAACTCACACTCTTTGGGTCCTGTCACTGGATCTAACCAACGCCTTTATCCACTGTGCCATGTGTTCTTGATGACACAGCGCCTTTATCCACAGTGGATAAAGGCGTTAGTTAGATCCAGTGACAGGACCCAAAGATTGTGAGTTCAATACCCGGTTAAGGCAGTGGAGAACTTTCAGAGGGAAAATTAACAGGAGATAACTGATAACTGACATCCATTAAACATTGCACGTGGAACTAGAACAGTCTACCCCAGTGAGCGAAATAAATAGTTCAGTTTGACATTCCAACCACCTGAAGAAGGCCAGAGCGTACAACGGCCGAAATGTTGTAATAAATATGGCGACAAAGATGAGGACAATAGTCCGAATAATTTAAATAATGTAAATAATGTACATAATACCTCATCTCAGAAATATAGATAGATACTGATATTTTCAAGTTTCATAAAACCTTAAGTTATTTCGAAAGCATCTTTTGCTATCCCAGTTCGCGTTTGGATTTTTCGTCAGATAAAACACTTCTAATTTGTATCTCGCATATTGGGCCGTCCGTTTTGCTAACAACCACATAGTTTGACGTCTTTAGGTGCCTTATCGTGGTGTAAAGGTTAGCAAGTTTGCCTCGCCAGAAACATTAAAACTGAGTAGTGAGTTCAATCCTCCCTGAGTGCTCTCTTCTTTCGGTCTTATGCAGCATCTAATCTCCGCTTAGAAAATCATTTTTGGGCACACCGACGTAGAGTAATGGTCAGCAAATTTGTCTCGCTAGAACCATTACAACTGAGTAGGGAGTTCAATCCTTATTGGGTACTCCATGCTTTCGGCATTCTGCCGCATCTAATCCGCGCTTAGAAAATCATTTTTGGGGCACCTCCAGGCCATGTAATGGGTAGCAAGATTGTTCGATCCTTACTGGATGCCCTAAACTTTCGGCTTTGTGCCACATCTAAGTTACGCTTGGAAAATCACTATAGTCTGTCGTCTTAGAGTTGCTTCATATCTTTTATTCATCTTTGATCAAATTATTCAGCATTCATTACCATATTGAGAGATTGTCATTCCACAGGATTTCAAAACTTGGTTTCTAACTACGTTTTCCTGCTTTTTCATACACTGTTTACCTTTTCGAAGACAACTTACGCTATTTTAATATTACTACAGATTTTGGTATCACATTCTTCATATATATATATATATATATATATATATATATATATCCAATTCAGAGCGCGTGTCTTAGTTTTCTCATTGCTATCACAAATGCCCTATTTGTGATTGATGACAGGGACATAAAAATTATGAATACGACAGAAGGACGATCCTCTTTGCAATATTCTAGTTTCAAACTGTCTTAGAATGTGATAAATGTATGCTTGCCACATTACAGCATACAATGTGATGTAGTAAAAAAAAAAAAAAATACAAACTTTCTTTTATTCAATTTCTCAATCGATTAAGAGAGAGATCGATCACCAGTCTATGTCACTGAAACCGGGGCATCGATAGAGGAAATGAACAAAAACACGCCGATTCAAAGAGATTCATTTTATTTTATGTTTTTCATTCTCAAAACACTATCAAATGTTGCAGACAGAATAAAAAAAAAACAAGAACAACTCGTTCTAATGACGAATGGGGGAAAATACATTTTACTTAACACTCAAGCTCCGCCCCATCGCCTACAAAATCAGTGAACTTTGTACTTTACGCCGCCGGTGGTGGAGGAGAGAACAGAAAAAGAAGCATCGGAGAGACTGATGGGCTTAATAGTTGCAGGAGAGACGTTTATTTACTTGAGTAAATTTTGCGAGTCCCATGAGGTTATTAGCACCACCTCATTTATTAATTTCAGACATTTTGTCCCGATAATTGATTTTCTTATCCTTTTTCCATTAGAACTTTGCCTTTATAGACTACTAAGAATATTAAATATTGTTATTAAAACAATATAAGACTCTGGAAGATTATATACATAAAACAGTTGAAACCTAACCTGAACAAAATAAACTATGAAATCTCCACAAATATTCTTAAATGCCTACAATTGGTAACAGAAGCGATTGGTTTATACCAACGGATTCCCATACTTAATACTTCTCGAATTCACTCTCGCGTGGTCATGTGTGACGTCATGAGCTGCGGTGCGTTTTTCGCTTCCAGCGTCTTATATGCACGAGTTTGTCGTTGCTTGGAAATCTTTCATGTAAACAGAAACAGACTATCGTCACTGTTTTGTCCGTGTACATATATTGTAATGTAATTGTCATCTTTGATAATAGTTTATGTAAGCCGAAAGCTTAGATAGGATTAAAAAATATGTGATTTTCTTCGATTAATGATAATGTTAT